GAACTCATGTCAATCGCGCGATCGTCGCGCGAATCGCGCGATGGTCGCGCGATTGGCATTTGACCGATCGCTCCAATCGCAGACTCTGACATCGGCCAATCGCGCAAATCGTGAAAATCATGAAACCTGCGACGGATCGCGGACTCGGGCATCAGCCTAACTGCCTCCTGGACTAAGCCTTAGAGGAGCAGACGAACAGAGCGCCGCGCCGCCGGGTGGTCCCCCAACTAAGGTAGCACCGCAAATACTGCTAATAATGTATCCCCTGCTCCAGAAAACCAGATGAACGTTCAGTGCAGACCACACACCACAAGTGACGACGGCCTCCAAGTAAATCTGGTTACTAGTGGTTCATAGTGATAGCTGATAGTTGGTAAATGATAGTTGTAATTAGTGACAACTGATAGAATACAACTGCAACAGGCTAATCATTTCATTGGCAGAAAACATTTACATTTTGTAGAGGCCGTCGTCACTTGTGGTGTGTGTGGTCTGTTCTTGTTTTATGAAGCAGATTATAAATGGCTCTTTACCGTTCTAGGTTCTCTCAAGAAGCAGTCTGCAAAAATTACTGTTCCATTGATAATTAAAGGGCTATCGTAATGACATCCTTCCCTTTTTTATTTACCCCATATCGAGACTTTCAGTGGATCCTGAACGTGCCAAACCGTGCAGCATTCTTCGGTGCCATCGGCAAAGACAAATATGGCGAATTGCTGAAGTCCAAAGCCAAAGAAGCTGGCGTAAATGCTCAATATCAGGTTTGTGCTTGACAAGGCGATATTGCTTGCGTCTGAAATTGGGTTTCGTTGTCACACACTGTGCTCAGTTACTGCAGTTTTGGCCCTATAGCATATACAAATTTAGATCAATGAGTCTGTCAAAACTGGAACATGTGCTGCCCTCATCTACAATCAGCATAGGTGAGATCTTTTTAGCGATTTTCTCCTAGAAATGATGCGCTGAGTTCTGATCTCAATATTCAAGATCGTTGTGTGCTCATTTGGCCGCTGCCAATACGTTCACAATTGAGCACATGCTGAAGCCAGAAAATGCTAAAATTATCGAGAATGCCCAGTTCTTCTACATCGCTGTAAGTCTACTCGTGTGTTTACGATCATATTGTTTTTCCACAGGATCAACTCTATTGTACTTATCACTAGGGTTTTTTCCTCACTGTCTCTCCTCCATCTATCATGCATGTGGCTGAGCATTCACACAAACATGGAAAGGTAAGAAATTCGCTGTTTAATTGAAAATTATAGCTGACCACTTTGGCTCCGTACACTAGTGCGTGGGCTCAACGATACTGAACAGAGGAGGGGCCTCTGGTTCAACCCACTTTGGCTGTAAATTTGGAAACGCTCCACCACCACAGTTCGCGGGCACTGTGGACCGTCCGTTCCAATCCTTCTCCTTCGCTAGTTAGCTTTCGCTTTCACGAGCTTCTGGGTAAAACCGGATTATGAGGTTTAGAGAACGCCACTCACTTCCCGCCCATATTGGACAGGCCTCCGTTCATTCAAGTGTCTCGAAGCACCTTATGCACTGCTTCTCTACATCCATTCCCTCCTCTTAAACTTGAACCGGTTCTCCAGGTGTCGACTGACAAACATATGCATACAGGCTACGTGCTTGGCTTGGCCCGCAGGGATATTGCTTGCACTGGCATACTCAATAAGTTCAGAGATTTGTGAAGATTTCTGTTGATTCGAGACTGATTCTTGTACAAAATAGTTATTCATGGCCAGTAATCTCCGCGAAAAGTTTTCCTCCAGTAGTTTCTCGACAGCTTCTAATTGAAAAATTGGCACATATGGGTTTCACGGTCGATGGTTAGGCCGGTATCAGGCTTTGAAGTCAGTCGCCCGATTCGTTAGCCATTCGAACAATTCAAGCGTCGATTTCAGCAATCACTTGTTAGCGCTTCCCCCTTTCGAGCGTCGCAGTCATCTGCGTTCACTGAGCTACGTGTTTATAACCTACCTATACATAGGTTACCTCGTTGGTGTTCGAACGCTGAAGATGTGACCGCTACTTCAACTGATTACTGTCAAGCTCGATGACATCTGATGTCAATATTTTTACCTCTTTTCCGATCAAAATGCTTTTTCGTCACAAAATTATTGTGCAAGTAGTAGGAAAAAGTGCAGCACAAGCATACGTTGCATTATTAGACTTGTAGAATAATTTAACTATGTCTGGTAGATATCATGTCATTCCTCGTCGCACTAAGGCAAGAAAGTATAGAGCTCCTTCATTGTCGGTCGTCCGATCGTAACGATTGCACGGCATTCGTATCAATCGTAGGACCTGTCGGAGGGAGACAGTCTACCATATGAAATTCATCCGCAGCCCGACCTGTCCAGTTTGGAAGAAGTTTGGAAGAATTACGCGTGTAAACTGTTGTCGGCCTTGGTTGGATCCCATTTCCCTTTGTTGACAAAATTGTTCGGTGAAA